AATGCTTTAATCCTTACTCGCCCTTGAGCTGAGGATGATGAAATAACACCACTTATCTCACAAGTTTTGGGAAACTCAAAAAAGTTCAGTGTAACAAAAGCACACAGGACAGAGTCTAAAACACAATAAACACTCAGTGAGCCTTAGCTCACTCTGCATAAGGAAGCGCCCAGTGCTAGCTTTGAGTGTTACAGTCCAGTAATCCTTCTTCTATACTGTGTAAATTAATTAAAAGTAGAATAAGAGTAGTCGCTAGTGAGTAAGATTAAAAAAAGCAAATTTAAGAAGACAACTCTTGCACATCTATTGGAGTTCTTCATGGAAACAATTGTTTATTAAATACAGAGTAAATGGCAGAGACCCTATGAAGTATTTAACTTAACTCCAACAATAACTCCAACAATAATTTTTAATGAATATTTTTAACACAATAATAATTTAAAGAAGTATTTAACTTAACTCTAACAATAACTCCAACTTAACTCCAACAATTCATATGCGAAAACCCAATTCACATATGAAGAAAGCAAAACCAAAGAGGTCAACTAATTAGTCAACTAACAAAGTCAATCAGCCTGAAGTTGGAAAAGCCAAACTCTAAGTTAAGGGACTGCCTTGAGAGCTCCCTCTTTTGGAAGAAAAAGAAAATTAAACTATGACCAAGGACTTAAATACCAAAAGATATACTGTAGATTTTCAAGCAGTACATATTTTATTAAATTGTTGTTGTTGTTATTCAGTTACTCAGTTATGTCCGACTCTTTGCGACCCCATGGACTGCAGCTGACCAGGCTTCCCTGTCTTCACCATCTCCCAGAGCTGGCTGAGACTCATGTCCATTGAGCCAGGGATGCCATCCAACCATCTCATCCTCTGTCATTCCCTTCTCCTCTTGCCTTCAATCTTTCCCAGCAGTAGGGTCTTTTTCTAATGAGCTGGCTTTTTGCATCAGGTGGCCAAAATATTGGAGCTTCAACTTCAGATAGCACAGTAAACAAAAAAATCTGTGAAACTAGGGCTTCAGGAATTGGTAAAAATTATTTCTAATGGCTCTATAACTAGTAATACAAACAAATTTTGTACATAAAAACTATATATGGATCTCTGTTCATTTCCAAGGCAAACCATTCAATATCACGATAATCCAAGCCCATGCCCCAACCAGTAATGCTGAAGAACCTGAAGTTGAATGTTTCTATGAAGACCTACAAGACCTTTAGAACTTACACCCAAAAAAAAGATGTCCTTTTCATTATAGGGGACTGGAATGCAAAAGTAGGAAGCCAAGAATCACCTGGAGTAACAGGCAAATTTGTTAGAGTACAGAATGAAGCAGGGCAAAGGCTAATAGAGTTTTGCCAAGAGAACGCACTGGTCATAGCAAACACCCTCTTCCAACAACACAAGAGAAGACTCTACACATGGACATCACCAGATGGTCAACACCAAAATCAGATTGATTATATTCTTTGCAGCCAAAGGTGGAGAAGCTCCATACAGTCAGCAAAAACATGACCAGGAGTTGACAGTGGCTCAGATCATGAACTCCTTATTGTCAAATTTAGATTTAAATTGAAGAAAGTAGTGAAAACCACTAGACCATTCAGGTATGACCTAAATCATGTCCCTTAAAATTATACAGTAGAAGTGAGAAATAGCTTTAAGGGACTAGATCTGATAGACAGAGTGCCTGATGATCTATGAACAGAAATTTGTTGACACTTTACAGGAGGCAGTGATCAAGACCATCCCCAAGAAAAAGAAATGCAAAAAAGCAATATGGCTGTCTGAGGAGGGCTTACAAATAGATGTGAAAAGAAGAGAAGTGGAAAGCAAAGGAGAAAAGGAAAGATATGATGCTTTAAGATTGATTAGTGTGAAAGGGTCACAGTGACAAGAACAAGACAGCCACCAAAAGTGTCATGTGGAGTTCATGAAATAGCAAAAGTTTTGTGCAAAAGTTTGAGGTTATATAATACATTAGAGTAGCCACTATAGTCAGCAGTAACTTTCATTTAATGCACATGACTAAGAGTACAATGATAAATACAGGCATTATATGCATAGCAAAAGAGATTGGCTTTACCACTCCAAAGAGGAGGTAATGGCAGTACCTAATTAGATTCATGTATACAATGTGAGTGGTTCCAGAAATTAGGGAATCATGGTGTGAAGGCTGAAGACAACGCAGTCAGGGTATGTGGTCAGCACCACATTTCTCAGGGAGACTTTTATTCTATGTGTTTTTCTTCTACCCATTTCAGGGTCAAGCACCACTAAAACCTCACTATCAGGATGAACCAGTCTTTCCATTGCTTCTACCTCCTAATTTGGGTTGGGGCGGACAGTTGGGCAATGGAACACAGTGATTATCACACGATTCTTGCTCAATCTTCAAACTGTTAGGTTTCAGACAAGCGCACTGTGATAAACCATATCTGTAACTTAAACTTGTGGGGATCTTTCTTTAAAACATGGAGATGGAAAAGGAGAGGACCTGTGCCACTCTCCTCTTGATTGCCGTGATAGGAAGGAATCATGGACAAATACAGCTATTTTTATCCTCAAAATATCCTCTGATCATTTGTCTTAACCCCACAATTCGACTTGATCTCATCACATTTTGACTTCTGGGAGGCTGCAATCCATGTTTATCTGTGCTTTCTGCATGATCTTTAATCTCTCTCTTTCCTTCATCTCTCTGCTCTCATTTTTCAAACACATGTAGCTCTTTTTCTATCATAAGTTGCCATTCTCACGATCTCATTGCCTTCTCCAGAGGCACATTTTTATTTTTTGACACCACAATGGCCTATGCAATGCTTTTTCCATTTCTTTACCACCTACTCCCTTCTGAATTTTTTGCCAACAGGCTTCTAGTCCTGCTCCCCTCCTCACCCAATATCTTTCCTTAAAACTAACAATGATCTCTTTTCTTTATTCTGTTTGATCTCTATACCATTGTCTTCTCTAAAACTTTCTTGATACAGTCTTGACCCTTGCCTTCTATAGTCTGAAATTATTCATGGTTTTCTGCCTTTCTGATGACTGTTTTTGTTTTTTATCTATTGGTTGCATTTTTTCATTCTTCTTCCCTCAAGCTGTGACCATTATTCAGAGTTCAGTCCTTGCTTGTCTGTTGTTTTTTTTTCTTTCTAAACCAAGGCATTTTAAATTGTGTTCCTTGATCTAAAATACCTTAGAAGCTGCCACTGAGAACCCAGGGAATGGATGAAAGTGTGGACAACTGGTGACTTTCCACTACTTCAAACAGAATAGCTCTGATTTTATCTGTTTATTTGTTCCATACTGTTTATTTTGGAGAGCTTCACTAATTTACTGAAAATTACATCAGGATCATAACACCTGAGTCTAATTTCCTATTTTACAACTATCTATATAACTTTAGACAAATATTTCAAAGCATTAATAAATTTCTAAATCCAAGCTTGTGTCCTTCCCTCCACCTAAAATAAACCACTCTCCAGGTCTACTCTGCAGTACCTTTCTAATTCCTACTGATTTTTTGGTTTTCTGTCACTTCCTCCAGGAAGTCTTCTTTGAATCTGAGATCTGGGTTAGGTGTTTTTCTGACATGGTACCATAGCATTCTAAAACAATCCTTTAACACAGTACTTATTTGGTTGTCTGTTGGTCTATATTTCCTACTAAACTGGAAGCTCATTGAGAGCAGACTATTATTCATGATATACCTAGCTTAGGGCATGTAGTAGGTTTGAAATCCCAAGCAGAGATAATTTTATATCCAGCAAAGATACCCAAATTAGGTGACACTGCTTTCTTTTCAACTAAATATAAATAAAAAGGCATGTATCAATGTTATCTCTCATTGTGATCAAACTGCTCTCCCCATCTGCCTGCTTTCTAAGTGGCCCTGACACCTCCTTCATCTACTTTTGAATCCTGTTCACAACATCCTCACCATTTACTTTTATTGGGGAAATTATTTTATATTTCACAGATTTTTTTTTGTCCTAAAACAGAGATGGACTGTTAAAGATATCTACAATGACCAAGAACACATCAAACTACTAATTCATCTTGTTTTCAACTCTGTATCATTACATCATTCTTAACAAGATTATAACATTGTACTGTTTTGGCCTAATATTAACCATATCAACTTCTAATAGTAAACAAAGATGAAAAATCTTCAAAAGAAGATTTTGAGGGCATATCTGAGCAGTTTATAAAAAAGCATTGGTAGCTGATATAGAGATTATAACTGCCTGGTAAAGAATGTATTGCTTTAAATATTTGCTGCTTAAAATATATATATAATAACAACAAAAAATCCTAAAATAAAATCAAAGAAGAGTAATATGATGTTCACATATATTCTGTAAATATGGCCTTAGAGAAATTCCAAACTGCTGGCATACAAAACTAGAAAGTGTAATATTACAATTCCATCTTTAATCCTAAACTGTAACATCACCCTCAGCAACCATATTAGGGTAGTTTCATCATAAATGTCATAAGTTCCAAGAGCAAAATTACATTTCAATCCGGTGCTATTTTATTTAAGAGTTTATCATATTTTCAAACACCAAGCTAATGCAATTTAGACCCAATGAGTATCTTTTACCTCACTGCTTTAAATCTGGAATCTTAGCTTTTTACTACTGTTTCTTCAGATTATATTAAATGGAAAAGGTCTTAAGGAAGACCAAAATCAAAAACATTTTGCAATAAAGCAATCTCTGCAAAACTGATGATGGTTCATTATCTGCTTAGCAGAATTCTTGACAAATAGAACTTCAAAAAGATACTCTTGGAATAGATGTTATAAAGAAAACTCATGTATCAGATAAGTAGCTGATTAGATGAAATTCTGTACAGCTCTAAGAGACCAAGATTTAGGTCATGAATCAATTCAAGGAAGTCGACCTGCTGACTAAGATTCTCATGTTTCTTATAACAACAGTAATATTTGTATAAAGAAAAGCCCCACAGCCAACAGGGGAGATGGTACTTACGAGTATTGTGTCAGCAGTTCCAAATCATTATGCATGTTGATTGGATATGCTTCACTGAGTTCAAACAACTTCTCTAGAGCCTCATAAATGAAAATGATGCAAATAAGAGAAGCAAAAGCTTCTTCAGTAAACCGAGTGATATAGCAGACAAGGGAGCTTGCATCAGTGGCCACAAGTATGATACACAGGGTTGCAGTCCAAAGTCCAATACTAGCTCTTAAAGATAGGTATGACAGCCCATATTCTCTAGGAGGAGGGAAAGAACATGAGAAAGAAGGTCATTGAACAGCCTGTCACCATTTTTAGTAGATGGAAATAAGTCTAATTCAGGAAACAAAAGTAAATAAGCTTCACATCCCATGAGTATCTAAACTCAAAACTTTGTCTACAGGGAACACCTAAGGGTACAAAACTCAAAGAGGTTTCTCAGTGCTTAGAACTGAATATAATTTTTTATAAATATTACATAAAAAGTACATAAATATTTTACTATTTATTTATTTCCATGGAGAGACAAAAATGGCAAACTGAATCAAATCAGCAACTTCTACCTCTGCCAGCAGATTTCCAAATGTGAGGTTGAGAGAAGTATAAATACGGTGGAGGGACAGACAGGGACTAAGGGTGAAAAGTATATAATACTTACTTGCAAAATTTAAACAAAATCTTTTCAAACACCAAAACTGGTCCTGTACTGCCTAGTATGGTAAGAGGCTGTCCACCAAAGAGAGAATAGGCTATCCCAGTCATAGATGCTCCAAAGAGAGACTCGATTGCACTCTGTGTGGAGATATAAATGATTCTATTATCTAAGCTGTACAGGCCGCCATTATAACTGGGGAAAAAACACATAAAATACATGGGGTCTATTCTATGAAGCGCCTACTAGCAACCTTGGGCAGGAGGTGGGGTGGGAGAATTAAAAAAGGGGCAAGCCATCAAAATATGAATGGTAGTAGACAAGGATACATTATCTCCCTCTTCCTTATCTTACTTTTCTTTCACTTACTAAAAGTTTACATGTATTCACGACAAATGTCTGGCAGAAGCAAGGCCTATATAAGTGGGAAATGGACCTTTTAAGGGTAAGAACCAATCTAAAGCTAGCCTAAGACTGGGGCCAGGGATAAGATCAGAACCTTGTGTAACGTAAGAATTCTCTGTTCTGAGATATTCCACTCCCTGATTACCAGTTCCACTAGTCAAGAAATTCATATGAAGTTTATCAGCTAATTCAGTTCAGTTCAGTTCAGTCGCTCAGTCATGTCCAACTCTTTGTGACCCCGTGAATATCAGCTAGACCATACATCAAATCTCTCCTCATAAAGGAATTCAAAATGAAACGCACACTCATCTAACTATGAATCTTAAATGCTGATTCAAATTCAAAGTTCAGAGAAAAGAATAATACATACTATTCGACCTTCAGTTGCTTCTCCCAACAGTCCTCCAAATGTGATGACAGGAGACATACATGCGCAGTAGAGAAACAGAAAAGATGCTAAACACTGCAGGCTGAAAGCATCTGTGAAGTCACTCCAGAAGTATGGAGCTTTTCTTTTGATATCTAAAATAAGTCCCCCAAAAATCCTAAGACAGGGGGGGAAAACACAATAGTGACATACAAAGATAAAAAACACATAAGTCAAAATACTCATTTGCTTTGTTGCCAGGTCACAGTATAGGTTTTCCATCAGCAGAGATGAGACCCATATTAACCTGCTAGGCTTTTCGTCATGATCTATAGGAATAGCTTTGTACCACTAAGGCACTTCAATTCCTAGCGAAAAATCGTGTCAACAACCTCAAAAACCCTGCTGCTAAGCTGCTAAGTCACTTCAGTCGTGTCCGACTCTGTGCGACCCCATAGATGGCAGCCCACCAGACTCCCCCGTCCTTGGGATTCTCCAGGCAAGAACACTGGAGTGGGTTGCCATTTCCTTCTCCAATGCATGAAAGTGAAAAGTGAAAAGTGAAAGTAAAGTCGCTCAGTCGTGTCCGACTCTTAGCAACCCCATGGACTGCAGCCTACCAGGCTCCTCCGTCCATGGGATTTTCCAGGCAAGAGTACTGGAGTGGGGTGCCATTGCCTTCTCCATCAAAAACCCTAGGTTCTCTCAAACTAGGTTCTCAGCAGTTCAACAATCAAAATTCAAACAGTGAGATTTAAGGATTACTCTAATCTCTGTCCCATTTCACAAAAAACTAGTCCTAAAATCAGGCCTCTTATCCTCAGTTATTGGCAATGGTGAAATTGTTTACATTCCACTTAGTGTAGCAGAAAGTGAAGGAGGGAAGGTAAACTGATTTTTATATAGCCCATAGTGAACATCAACCTAGAGAGAGAAGGTGGTATATAACCATGGCTTCAGCTATCCACTCTCTTTGTCAAAAAAATCGCTTGCCAAATAATATTTCATACAGGCACTTAAATGACCTTATGGATGACAATAATACTTAGTAGAGAGAGGTAAGTTCCATTATTGTTTTCATTTTTAGAAAACACAGGGGCCTCATATTAAGCAACCTAGATAAATGTACTTTTGATCCACTGTTGCTAAACATATTCAAACATCTATAATTAACAAGACAATAATGATCTTACTTGGGGTAAATGCGTGTATTCTAAAAATATCAAAAACCACATTAAAAACATGTAAAGAATGATGTTTTGGTAGGAGGAGGGGAGTGGGAGAAGCATTAAATTGCAAAATGTCTAAAATCTGAGGATGAAATTTTTTAATCTATTAGGAATGAGAGCATTAAATAGGTATTCTCATTCTTTGAACATTTACTAACAACATGCAGATTTAACATTTGACTACTAAAAGCTCTTTGTGCTCTTTGGAATAGAGATGTCATATTAAAATGAATAAGGCTATGATTAAGTTCCCACATGGAGGTTAAAAAAAACTATTATGTTCAACATACTGCAAGTATGCTAAATACACCTGGGTTATGGAAAAATATTAAAGGTTTGTTCTTTATTTTCTAAATAGGAATATAATGTGGCAATCTAAGAATCACTTCAAAAATGATTGTTCTCTTGAGAAGTAAATTCCTATCTGCTTTGAAAAATGTACCTCTTCAGAATAACTGAAAATTCTATTATTTTTAATTTTTAATTGCCCTGATATAAACACAATAGTAACATTAATAACTATCTTATTATTATGTGAGTGATCGAATCATTACGTTTTCCACATCCACCAGAGGGATGTGGAGTAGGAGAGGTTGAAAAGGATGAAATTTCAATTGAGGAATAAAAAAGGACATTTAAAATTCGGAGAAGTTTGCAAAGAACCTATGAAAATTCACACACATACACAATGATCATCTTAGTTTAGGTTCTCCTACTTGTGTTTAATAAAACACATGCATAATTCATTTCTGAACGATGTGTTAACTTCTCAAAGTCATAATTCAGGACAGATTTAATCTACTAGTCTATTTATTCATGTACTTATTTTTTACATCCCACCTAATCCCCAAAAGAATGTGAGGTGGTTATGAACGATCACTTTGAAGTTAATATTTATAGGTTTGATAGCACTTTCTATTAGACTACTGTTTTCTAATTAATTACTTAGTAGGCCATACATTAGTCTAAACAGCTGTTATATTACAGTGTAATAAACATGCTTTCAGCAGCAAAAATCTAAATCCGGAAGTGGGAGGTCACTGCAGAGAACAGTACAAGAGCAGCCCAGGTGTGCACCAGCAACTCCAGGAGAGCGGATGAGTAATGGATACTTCAAGTCCTGTCAGCAACAGAATCTGTGGAAGAACTCTGGAGAAGCGAAGATACCGGATATTGGTGACCTGGGAGGATTTAGGAAGCAGTAAGGAAAAGTGAACTTCGAAAAAAAAAAATCTAAGCTATGTGGCACGTTACACCTGAGAGAGAGGGAAAAAAAAAAAAATAACACCAAAAATAAAAAGACAGCATTTGAAAATATGGAAGTAAACAGAAGGAGTAACAATGATTCCAGTAAAAGGGAAAGGGAAAAAATTGTCTGAATCATCTCAAATTAGGTACCAGACTGAGGAAGACATTTCCTTAGAGACAAAACATAGAAAAAGGGAAAGAACAGAGGAGAATTAAAATGCACAGTTGTCAGAAACTGGAAAGCCAGCTTAGAGGACACAGGGAGAGCAGTATAGGAGATGGCCCTGAGGGGAGGGGGGCACCAAGCCTGCAAAGTTTTTGCAATTGCCTTCAATTATAACGGAGGCTGTGTGCACATATTCCCTGAAGAGAGGCCCACCCAAAGGTTTCTGATTTTCTGCTCACACATTTCTTGGAGAGAGACAAGCTGTCAAAAAAAACATAAAGAATCATTTTAAGAAATAAATTGGAGCTTTCATCTCTTCAAAGATGTGTGATTAGAAAAATAAGTCATATAGCTCTTTCAGATTACTATCATAAAAATAAAAAATATTATTATATACATCCTGCTTGCTTGTAATGAGACAGGGTCTAGAAGACTGAGTTCTTGGTATTTATTTTCATTTCCATCTTGAACTTGAAATTTTCAACAGGCTCTTTTGGAAGGGGCAACTGACAGTTTTCTCATTCATTCTAAGAATCTGTGAATGTGTTTTATGCATAGCAATGTGAAAGACTATGTATATAAAATGGAATGGTGTATTCACTGTTCTGGTTTAATAATAATGACAATCATTAATGACGAGATATCAAATTTATTAGCAAAGAGTAGGTATTCAAAGTATAAAAACAAATTAGTCCTCAAAACAGTAATTCCCAACACAAAAGTGATATACCATTTGGTCTTTGAAGTCCCATACAAGGGCTTTTCACTAACCTTCCGGTTCGCTGGAGCTCAGGTCCACTATGTCCTCCATGGGGCTCAGCTTCCCCATGAGCTGCTGTTCCATTTGGTACAGCAGGAATCTTCCTCTTCTCCTGTGGGAAGTTTTTTTGTTTTTTAATTTCAGGTGCTAGTTATAAACAATAAAAACAATTTTTTCCCTTGCAATATGCAGAGCAGTTAAGAATCCAGGCTCTGTACTTATTTGCTATACAACCTCTAGAAAGTTGTTTAGCCACCTAAAGCCTTAGTTCTCGCCTCCTTTTACTGGTGATAACTCTTGACGGTAAAGCGTCTGCCTGCAATGTGGGAGACACGGATTCGATCCCTGGTCAGGGAAGATCTCCTGGAGAAGGAAATGGCAACCCACTCCAGTACTCTTGCCTGGAAAATCCCATGGACGGAGGAGCCTGGTAGGCTACAGTCTAAGGAGGGAGCAAAGAGTCGGACATGACTGAGAGACTTCACTTTCACTTTCCATTGAGAGAATGAAATGAGGTTGAGGAATACTTATTCTTTCTTTCAACGAATATTGAGTGCCTAGTGTGTGCCATTCATTTTTATGGGATGCTATAGATGCAAAAGTGAGCAAGAAAAAGCATCCTGTTAGTGGAGACAAAATAAACCTATAATGTCAGGTAGAGATAGAGATGATATAGCCGATTCTCCAGGCAAGACAACTGGAGTGGGTAGCCATTCCCTTCTCCAGGGGATCTTCACTACCCAGAGAGGGTAAAGAACTTGCCTGCAATGCAGGAGACCTGGGTTCAATCCTTGGGTCCAGAAGATCCCTTGAAGAAGGGAATAGCTACCCATTCCAGTATTCTTGCCTGGAGAATTCCTTGGACAGAGGAGCCTGGCGGCTACAATCCATGGGGTTGCAAAGAATTGGACATGACTGAGCGACTAACACTCTTAACTACTATTCTGAGATAGAGATCCGAAAAAAACTAAAACAAGAAGGGGTGAGAGGAGACTGGGATTAAGATAGGTTGAGGTAAGGAGGTGTTAATAGTGGTATAGGCCTGGTCTAGTTCAACTGTTCCATGAACATTAACTGCTATCATTAGCTTTTTTTAAAGTATGTTTCCCTCTCTGATTCTGGCTCATATCTTCCTACCCAAGCTTCTTCCCAATATAAAGCAATCAGAAAGACTACTGCAAAAGGAAGCTTTTAATTGAGCCAATGACAGAATACTGAGGTTGTGTAAGTGCTGTTTCTCTACAGGTCTATTCCAGCCACTCTTGTCAGTGACGGAGAGTTTAAAAAATCAGAAAAGCATTCCTACTGGTGATCTTAGAGCACATCGATGTGCTCAAAAGTGCTTGAAGGGAAAAAAAATTAATGGTGAAATTAAATTTTTTACTTAACTGCCATTCCAAAATAGTGTAAGCATATAAACATGTTCTTCATGCTTAGTGTAAAGTGGGAATTATCACATGATCTTATTACAATGGGACAGTTAGATAAAATGGTACAGATTTAAAACATGACAAAAATATTTTGAAATGCAAAAAATATAGGAAAGTTCACTGACTGAATTTTATAACTTCCCAGGTATATAAATAAATACAATGAACTTAAGTTCAAAGATAAAAGACAGTATGTCTGTCAACAGATGAAGGAGCTGCCTTTACAGGTAAATAACTATCATATGTTAGTAAAGGGCTTTAACAATGGCCCTTAATACCCTCAATACCCAATAATCACCTGGGAAAACATTTCTTAGCAAGTCTAAGAAGGCAAGTGGTATTATTTGTTCTTCTGGGGAATTATCCCTTACTGCACACATCAATTCATTGTTTTACAATGGGAAAAGCTATTTGCCTTATACACTGATAAGGCAAATGATAAACCATGAAAGATATTCATCATTCTAAAGTACCTATTTCCTCAAGGAGTGCCTTCTTACAGTAGGGAGAAAGGGTTTATAAAAAATAATTGGGTACTGGTGAATATTCTGAGGGAAATACGGGAAATTTTTTTTTGTTTTTCAGACTTGACTGACAAGGACCCACTGTACAACACAGGGAACTATACTCAATATCTTATAACAACCTAGAATGGAAAATAATTTTTAAAATAATATATATACACACATATATGTATATTTATGTGTATATGTATAAAACTGAATAACTGTTATACACCTGAAACAAATACATTGTAAATCAACTATATTTCAATAAAAATTAAAAGTAAGTAAATATTTGTTTCTGAGCTTTTTCTGATATCTTCAATCTGAATTACTGGAAGGAAACACTGAACAGATCTGCTTCTTCCTTTTGGGGATTGAGAGAGGTTTCATAGATTTAATAAGATCCCCAAGATGTCCATATTTATGTAGCATTATGTACATGCCAGATTCTAGAGACAGTTATGATGTTAAACTTATTTTTCATGTGCAGAATTTATAATAATAGAGAAAAAAATAAAGAAATAAAAATGATGGAAAAGCGAAAATTTAGAGCATACTAAAGGGATCTGTGAGGTGTGGGGAGGAAGAAATGGCAATGATAAAGAGAGTGGTCAGGCAGGCTCAGAGAGAGTGTCATTTGAGAAAAACTTGAGGGAGTCAAGAGAATTAGCCATAAAATAACTGGGGGAACATCCAGGCAAAGAACAGCCAGTGAGTAGGATAGTCTTAAGGCAGGCGTGTGATGCAGAGATTGAAGAATAAGAAGGCAGGAAGCCAAGGAGAGGAGTGAGCAAGAGAGAAAGAGATGGGAGATGACTTAGAGGTGGGAGATGACTTAGAGGCAAAAGGAAGCCAGACTGTGTTGGTTTAGTAGATCATTTTTAGTATTTGGCTTTTATTCTCAGTGAAACATGGAGTTTTTGCAGGATTTTAAGGAAAGGAGAGCATGATCTAACACTCTGTCTGCTGTGTCAAGAACAGATTCTAGGAACCAAGAGTAGAAACAAGGAGACTGGTTAGGGGGCTATTTCAGTAATCCAGGAGAAAAATGATGGTAGCTTGGAGCAAAAGAACTGATGACATGGGATAAAGAGGGAATTGGTGGGGTAATCTCTTTGAGTAGGTATGAAGAGATGGGATCTACTGCACAGGTAGAAAACTGACTTTGGATAATTCATTAATAGTAATATAGGAACATGCAGAGAATGTAGGTGCAGGCAGGAGTAGATAAATGTGGTTTGGGGAATCTAAGCAGGTAAATGGCATGAGAGAAAAGCAAGGAAGTTAAGGGTATACATAAGGGAGTGATTATAATGACTGACATAAAGTTCTAGTGAGTATTTTCAGGGGTATCCCTTGAGGTGACTGGTTATTATTCTCTTAACTGAAAGTAAGAAATATTTTTTAAAAATACTGTGATTTACACATTTCTGGAAGAATAAAAACCATGGAGATTATCCCAGAGAGGAAAATATTTGAATGAACATGAATTCAGTACTTAATTTATTTTGATTCATTTTGCAATGTTGTAAAGAAACACAGAGCATATCTAATTCAAACTCATTATATAAAATTGTGTTGTCTAACATGATAGCCACTAACTACAAGTGGCTATTTAAATTTAAATTAATTAAAATCAAAAATTCAGTTCCTCACTTGCATAAGCACATTTCTAGTGCTGAATAGTGTCTTGACTTAATAGATAGCATAGATATAGAACATTTCTATCATTGCAGAAAGTTCTATTGGACACACTGATATATAACATCAGTAGAGAGGTTACAGCATCTGTTTAAGGTAATAAAAAAAGATAGTATCAAAACCTAGGTGCCGTGATTCTTAGTTCAATGTTCTTTCTCCTGTTGTTGTCATTGTTTAGTCTCTAAGTCATGTCTGGCTCTTTTGCGAGTCCATGGACTATAGCACACCAGGTTCCTCTGTCCATGGGATTTCTTAGACAAGAATACTAGAGTAAGTTACCGTTTCCTTCTCCAGGAAACCTTCCTGACCCCAGGGATTGAACCCGAATCTCTTGTACTGGTGGCTTCCCTCATAGCTCAGTTGGTAGAGAATCCTCCTGCAATGCAGGAGACCTGGCTTCAATCCCTGTGTTGGGAAGATTCCCTGGAGAAGGGAAAGGCTACCCACTCCAGTACTCTGTACTGGAGAATTACATGGACTATGCAGTCCATGGGGTCGCAAAGAGTTGGACACGACTGAGTGACTTTCACTTCACTTCAATTCACTCTTGCATTGGCATACTGAGCCTACTGCTTCTCAATACCCAGACTCCAACATCCAACAATTAACGCTGGTCTTAAAGTCTCACAAAATTAATTTTGGCTCCCATGTCTCCACTTGTCTCAGAAACATCATTTCTGAAAGGCAAGGTGTTTCCAAAACTGCTTGACTTTAGTTTTAATGTTTGAAAAACAAATTAGTGTTAACAAGTGACTTTAAAACTCTCAAATTCAGCATATTAATATTTTTACTGAATTTTCCAAATAATATCAATTGAAGAGATTCTTTCTTACTACTTTAAGAAGCATTATACTGTCTTTATTAATACTGTTAGTGTGAGGATATATACAAGTACAAAATAAGACAATCTAAACCCTTAAAATTACTCTTTAAGCAACTTACTAACTTTAGTAGTACATCAACTGAAATTATGTGATTGAGACTATAGAATCCCAGACTATAGAATCTCCTCTGAGAAAAGAAGAGCAAATAACCTTCAATAATTATAAAATAACTTCAGGATAGAAATGTAGAAATGAGCCATCAGTAGAGTTTCCTTCAATTAATAGCGGGTTTGAGATGACTTTTTAGAAGACTCATAGTTGAGTCTTTTACTCAGTCAATTTACCCATCTCTGGCTAACCAGAAAAACATCTATGCCTAGAGCTGGGTCAATTAGGCCATTTGTTACTTCAGCTAAGGCAGCAGAGTCAACTACAAACGCAGCTGGACTCCACAGGGACCAGAGCCAAAGGCAAGAGTGAGTAGAGGACAACAGGGGAGCTGTAGGAGGCAGGTTCACCAGGAACAGAGACAGCAATATCAGTGGGCTTAAAAACATGTGGCCACTACCCTCATCAAAGTCATGCCTGCAATAAGAAAATGACCTCAAACAGTATCAATGGTCTTTATTTCTTTTTTTGTTGTTTGTTTTGTTTTGTTTTTTTCCGTTTATTTTTATTCATTGGAGGCTCATTACTTTAGAATATTGTAGTGGTTTTTGCCATACACTGACATGAATCAGCCATGGATTTACATGTGTTCCCCATCCTGATTCCCCCTCCCGCCTCCCTCTCCATCCCATCCCTCTGGGTCTTCCCAGAGCACCAGCCCTGAGCACCTGTCTCATGCATCCAACCTGGGCTGGTAATCTGTTTCTCCCTTGATAGTATACTTGTTTCAATGCTGTTCTCTCTAAACATCCCACCCTCGCCTTCTCCCACAGAGTCTAAAAGTCTGTTCTATACATCTGTGTCTCTTTTTCTGTTTTGCATATAGGGTTATCATTACCATCGTTAATGCAATCCCTATCGAGCTACCAACGGTATTCTTCACAGAACTAGAACAAATAATTTCACAATTTGTATGGAAATACAAAAAACCTCGAATAGCCAAAGCAACCTTGAGAAAGAAGAATGGAACTGGAGGAATCAAACTGCCTGACTTCAGACTATACTACAAAGCCACAGTCATCAAGACAGTATGATACTGGCACAAAGACAGAAATATAGATCAATGGAACAGAATAGAAAGCCCAGAGATAAATCCACGTACCTACAGACACCTTATCTTCGACAAAGGAGGCAAGGATATACAATGGAAAAAAGACAACCTCTTTAACAAGTGGTGCTGGGAAAACTGGTCAGCCACTTGTATAAGAATGAAACTAGAACACTTTCTAACACCATACACAAAAATAAACTCAAAATGGATTAAAGATCTAAACATAAGCCCAGAAAGTATAAAACTTCTAGAGGAGAACATAGGCAAAACATTCTCTGACATAAATCACAGCGGGATCCTCTATGACCCACCTCCCAGAATATTGGAAATAAAAGCAAAGTAAACAAATGGGATCTAATGAAACTTAAAAGCTTTTGCACAACAAAGGAAACTATAAGCAAGGTGAAAAGACAGCCTTCAGAATGGGAGAAAATAATAGCAAATGAAGCAACAGACAAAGGATTAATCTCAAAAATATACAAGCAACTCCTGCAGCTCAATTCCAGAAAAATAAATGACCCAGTCAAAAAATGGGCCAAAGATCTAAACGGACATTTCTCCAAAAAAGACATACAGATGGCTAACAAACACATGAAAAGATGCTCAACATCACTCATTATCAGAGAAATGGTCTTTATTTCTATCTGCATTGTATGCAAGTAAAATGCACATCAGATTTTTACATGGAGAACTTTTACAATTTTCATACCACATGCCCACACAAAGGTAATACAAACATAAGAATTATGAAAAAAATTCTTGAAATCATAAGTGTGATTAATGACAGTAATAGGGAGTTTTCCATACAAAATGACAACCATGCTTTTGAATTTTCCTTACATTTACCAACTTCAAAGCTATGTATCTGAATATGGCGAGTCTGTAATGTGCTTTTCTTAAGCATATTTTCCATCCTCATTAAAATTTGAGTTTTCCTCCAGTATAGTATGCTTTACGGTGGACCTAAAATCTCTTCAGGCATGTGGTACTGATATTTAGTAAAGTATCATGGATACACCAAATTTGTGTTTAATACAAAGAAGGAAGATTTTGTGTCAGGGAATTTCATGTCCCTGCCTTCTTAGAGGTTAAGTAGGTTCTGGTACCCTGGCTGCTCAGACAGTAAATCTGCAGGCAATGCAGGAGACTTAGTAGGTTCACTCCTTGGGTCGGGAAGATCCCCTGGAAAAGGAAATGGCAACCCGCTCCAGTATTCTTGTTTGGCAAATCCCACAGACAGAGGAGCCTGGCGGGCTACAGTCCATGGGCTTGCAAAGAGTTGGACTCAACTGAGCGACTAACACGCACCAAATCAAATGTGGTGGGAAATTTAACTCAATTCTGACACCACCTACCAGGAAATAGCATTATTATAGCTCAGCCCTGGAAGACTACCCCTCACACCCCATTTCAGATGCCCATCACAAGCTCAGGTTATTGCTGGTGCTCCGAATTCACTGGAGATATATCTGAGGCTCCTGTGAACCCCTTCTCAGGTTGGACTAATTTGCTAGGATGGCTCATAGACCTAGAGAAACATTTTATTTACTTGATCACCAGTTTTATTACTTAAGGATATAACCCAGGAACAGCCAGATTGAAGAGATGCATAGGACAAGGCATGGGGAAAGGGAGAGAAACTTCCATACCCTCTCTAGGCACACCACTCTTTGCAATCTCCACCTGTTCACCAACCCAAAAACTCTCTCAACCTTGCCCCTTTGGGGGTTTATGGAGGCTTCATTACACAGGGATGACTGATTAAAGCACTGGCCATTGGAGACTGAACTCAAACTCCAGCCCCTCTGCCCTCTCCCTTCCCTGGAGGCAGGAGGGTGGAACTGAAAGTTCCAAACTCTAATCTCTGGTAAGGCTCCACCTGGCAATCAGCCCCCATTCTTAACAGAGTTTCTAAAAGAACCTCATTAACATAACAAAGGCATCTTTGTTGCTTTCATCACTTAGAAAATTCCAAGCATTTTAAGAGCTCTGAGCCAGAAATAGGAACAGAGACCAGATAAATATTTCTTATTATAATCACATCACAGAAGTTACAATTTAAATCATTTGAATCTTCGGTTATACTATCTTAGTACATATATTTAAAAGGCAAAAAAAATGATGGTAGTCCTAAGAGTATTTTCCTATGTACATACCTGGGAAGGAACGTTTTTGGGAGGCTCTATTCGAATGCTTGGATCCCACTCTCCAGGAGGGAGAACAGTAACCTGATCCAGAAATTCGTCAATTCCTGATACCAAGTCATTGCGATCTTTTGCTTTGTAAGCAACATCATGAAATACCTATAGAAAGAAAATAACTATTTATAGATTTTAAAAAAGGGTCTAAAATCTTAATGCATTTTGTGCTTTCATTTCCCAGTTAGCACACATGTGATTATAATAATTTGAATAGGAACCTCTCTAACTAAAGAAGTTTTAGTGTAAAATATTATAACCTCTTTTATCCTATGATTGCACAGATGTTTATCTTTTCTTAGAATGCTAGATGAATGTTGAAATTTCTGGTGTAAAGAGAAAAAGAAGGAAAAGGAGAACAGAAGGAAGCTCATTAAGCTAGAATTAATGATTCAGGTTTGACAAACATTGTTTATATATGTAAATCAAGCTTTATGAAAGAAGCCCTTGCTTTAAAATAAGAGATAAAAGTTTATAACAATATTTATACCATGGCATAAAATAATGCTATTGAATAAATGATGGACTAATCAAAAAATAGTACTAAGCCAAGTAATTATCTATATAAAAGTAAAACAGGATCTTAACCATATCCCACTTAAAAAGCAATTCTAGGTATTAAAAACTTAAATATGAGCATTAAACTATTAAATTAATTGGACATATGTAGAAGGATATATTTATGACCTCAGAGTAAACAGTAATACAAATCTCAAAGATTTAGTGTAGTGTCAAAACAAGCACATAACCAACTTTTGCTGTTCTTCGAGGAGAAAAAAAGTACGTGTTCAGTAATATCAAATGCCAATAAGATTAAGTGACGTGAGTACTGAACATAAGATAGTATATTTTGTAAATGATGACCTTACAGAAAGCAATTTCAGTAGAGTGGTAGTGACAAAAATCAGACTGTAATACATTGAGATAAATGAAATTATGATATTCAGGACCAAGTAGAGATTACTCTTTCAAAACTCTTAAGATTCAGGTTCAATCAACACTTCAGTGGGACATGCTATGTTAAGGAGTAAGAAATTTGAAGGATGGGAAAATCTTGGCCTTTTATTTCATATGTATTTTCTAAGTAGCTACTATGTGTTAGGCCTGTTTGCTAAATGAACCAAAGGAGTCAGTGTTGACTTAGCTAAGTGACAGAGAGAGAAAACTGTTGACACAGAAATCCAGAACAAGAAAAATAAAAGTAAAGGTTCTTTTGTTTTTGCTTTTGGTCTTCTAAAACTATGTTATTTATGTTAATATACAATTACTTTATTATTATTTTAAAGTCAATTCACAAATATATTTTTTAAAATTCTCATTTTTAAGTTCTCATAAATATCAGCATACTATCAATATAAACAAAAGCTCTTTGGAGTGCTTAATAATTTTTAAGACTATAAAGGGATTAATAAATTGGTAATAGTGCCAATAAACAAAATCATATGATTTATCTCTAGTCATGCTCAACAGGAAGGGAGAAAAGAGGCTAGCTTAATTCAAGATAAGGTGTTGCTAGGATGACTAGAACATTCAGTCATTAATTCATTAAAAAAAAAAATCTATTGAACCCTGACTGAAGGTCAGACACCATGCTAAATAAGAAGATACAAAAGGAAAAGAGTCTACCTACAAGAAGTCCCCAGTACAGAGAGGAAAAGAACTGCTTAGTCAACAAATAATTATTTGAGCACCTGACAAAATCAAGGAACAAAAATGAATATTAATGGTAACTGCTCACATGGAATTTATAGCTTAATAATGAAATTCAATTCATCATTTTCTTAAATTGTTTGAATCAACATATTGAATTTTATTCTTGAGTATAATTGTTCAATGTATTTCAAAGCAGTTAGATGGCAGAACAATTTCTCCACCTGAGCTTTGAACAATAAAAACTTTTTATTCTCTTTTAAAAGTATTTAAATTTTCTTTTAATATATTCAATGAATGTACTATCATAATTAACATATCCTATTATAATTAACAGCTCTCATCTTTTGCAATAACTTTCTGGCTGAGTTTCCTCTTCTCTATTTCACTCCTCATAGAGAGTTACAAATTGCTCCAAGTTAAACTAAACTTTCAAGTCTAAAGGATTCATGTTTGAACCTTCATTCAAGGGCTGATTTGTTGTTGTTTAGTTGCTAAGTTGTATATATAGGAAATGTTTAGTTGCTAAGATGTATATATAAGAAACCAATACTCTGTTTAAGTTGGTTCTTTCTAAAATAGATGAAAAAATTGGTTTTGTTCTAACTTTTGATTTCCTATGTGTAAATATCAATAACTAACTCATATATAAACCAATAAACATAATTTGAACAGATATAATAGAAGAATTTACATTGAACTCCAAACATAAGTTCAAATTTTCAGATTTCATAAACCTAGGAAAAGTTATATATAATACTAATTAGTTCTTTTCATAGATTTTCAAGTATTTCAATAATTATTAAATTATTTAGATGAGATTTCAGAAATGTATAATCTCATTTGATATTTACTACTGAATTTTGAATTTATGTCACTTCCGTGATTTTTGCATCTGCTCTTCTTTTACAATAAAAACAGATTTTTGCAAGGCATTGTAGAATCCAAGAAACCAGTTATATGATATGATATTTTATGTTTATTTTTATGATCTTATATTTTTGAGACATATTTCTTTGAGAAGCTGACAAAAGCTTTTCCAGTCCAAAAAACTACATACAGTGTTTTTACACAGAAAAAATTGTGTGTTGAATCAGAGATCACAGGCCTCCTTGAAATCTGTCTTCAGCTCCTCTAATGGTTAAAACGCTCCAAGGTTAAAAACATCTACATTTAGGCAATTACAAGGAGAGCTGATAGATGTCTTACAGCTTTTGGTGTCATGTATACTATCCAGATAAACTGCCTCTTTTATTTTTTGAGACCTTAAAATATTGCCCCAAACAAGACCTGCAATGATATTAACAATGGTACTTACTTTGGCAACACAAATGTTATTAAGAGAATATTAATAAATACACTCTAAATTCACTAAATAACAGATTTTCTTTAAAGTATAGGGTTTTAAAATGTCCATGTGTGTGAATTTATTACCCCTTTGAACAAATTTTTCCAAGGGAAATTTTATAGTAGAAACATTTAAAGGGGAATTCAATACAGAGAAATCTGATTCACAGTAAACTGTCATGAATACAGAACTCCAAAAGTTAGGTGTACCTAGTAGGGGGAAATGTTTCCAATGAACTTGAATAAATACCTCATCTGTCATTAAGGTTGCAATTGATCTGCCAATCTCATGGTACTGTTGACCCTTTCCCAGGGGTCCCAGAAGAATGAACAAAAATCTGTAATGAAGAAGAAAAAAACATATGTTTCAAGGAAAAATAAAAAATAATTTAAGTAGTGCAACATCACTCATCTCAAAGGAATTACTGAAGATAGGATTTTGATGTAAAGTATTTCCATATTTTTCCACAGGTTATTATTACATATTTTGAAATATTTTATGTTTCAAAGTGACTCATGCTTAAGATCCTCGAGCAGTTGGAATCTGGGGTATTTTGCTGTTTCTTTCTTTGTTACCTATAATGCCTACGCAGTTAGTGTGAATTTTAAGGATTCTATAATTCTTATAGGAGAAAGTTAAGAAAGATAGAATCTGATTAAATCTTCTTGAATTGTAAGACAGAGAACTCACTATCACATATGTAAACTGTTGAATTAGGTAGAAGAGGGAAATGGCAATACAGTAGTATAAGCAAAGAAAGAATATATGGTTAAAAAAACAGTGAGAATGTGCAAAATTTACATTAAATAGAAAAAATGATTGCCAGGAATAAAAAATTAGATAGAATTTTTAAAAAATCCATTAATTCCAATGCTGGAGGAATAATAATAGCAGCTGCACTGTGATATTCCATCTATATAAGGTTGAAAATCTAGCAAATTCATTATCACAACGGGAAATTTTGAAGAAATCAACATGTGTTTTAACTTTGGAGGACCAATTACTCTCCTGTCTCTGAAAAGGTCAATTCTACAAGGAAATTATGAGAATTTTAAGATGCCCTCTATTCCATAATATAACTGCAGCATTCACTTGTTAAATGGTTTTTGCTTTTAAGTATGAAGACTAATGACTTTATAAGGTATACTGAAATAGATATCACAATTATACTTTCCATTCAGTTATAAACTTTAGAGATTGTACACATTTTTACAGGATGCATATATTACAGTCTTAGAGGATCTGACATTAATTTTTTGTGTCAGTTGTAACTGAATCCAATTCTATTATACAGAAATGTCCACTATACATTTAAAACAGGAATAATTTAGTGTGGTGGCAGATGCTTTACTAACTATAGTACTTTTAAGAAATTACCTAACCTATGTACATCTTACTATTTTCACATTTCTATTCCATGGACTATTTATAAATCCTAAAATTATTTTCTGGTATTTTTACTATGCATTACTGTTATATACACAGTGTGCCCTTTTGTCCTCCTAAGAAAGGATAATTAGGAACCTTGAATGGCTTTCTTTATTCTATTTGTCTAACTAATCTTCTTCCATTTTTCACCTTTCCTAACTAAACAGTCTAGCCTTTTAAATCTCTCCTTATACTGTGCCTCTATCGTGCCCCTAATTTTTCCTCCACTGTTCTCTAGACACATTTTGCTATGTCAGTATGAAATGAGGTCACTTAAACCTTGACAGTTTTCAAAGTGAGGGTATATAACCCCATTATGGCTTTTCTCTACTCTTGGGAATTTTTTTTTCTTTCCTTTGAAATACAAGAGCTATCATTGTCATAAATAACCATCATTTACTCAGTGTTCATCAGACACCTTCTTAGCTGGTGGAACAAGAATGCACTGGTTGGAGCACTGCTTGGAAGACACAAAGGAATTTTAATCTACTAAAATAATATCACTATGGTTAGTAAATTTCACATGTTAAATCTGAATCCCAAATTCCCAGAAATTCTGAATAGATTACAGGGTGTATATGGAAAAATGCAGCCTTAATCATATGTCAGACATCACCTTAATGTGTTCAGTTCATCCTTCTCCTTTTTAATAAAACTTGGTATGCATCAGAACTCTTGGTAGCCCTTCAGATGAACAGACACGCTTCTCTCTATAACTTGAATTATTAGCTCGTTTCCTGCCTCAAATCTGTTCATCCACAGGTTCAGATAGAGGTTCTCAAACACTGAATCCCTTTCCAGTCAGCTGAGCTCTAATGAAATGAGGCCTCTCCTAATTAAACTATTCTATATTTTTGCAATATCATAGCCACAATCAAAACACAGAGTGATATAATTGGCTATGTTTTGAGTTAAGGCTGAAAGGTTCATAGAAGAAACATTCTACCAACCCAGTTACCACAGCACCTGAAATTATCATCAGTTTAACTTGACCAAGACCTTCAATGTTTGGAAGAGAAGACAATTAACAGCATCTGAGACAATTATATGCTGTGTCACGCTTAGTTGCTCAGTCGTGTCTGACTCTTTGTGACCCCATGGACTGCAGCCCATCAGGCCACTCTGTCCTTGGGGATTCTCCAAGCAAGAATACTGGAGTGCATTGCCATGCCATTCTCCAGGGGATTTTCCCAACCCAGGGATCGAATCCAGGTCTCTTACATTGCAGGTGGATTCTATACTGACCGAGCCAGCGGAGAAGCCCAAGAGACAATTATGGCATCACATAAAGGGCACCCATCATGAAGGAAACGGGGCCACACAAAGATAAGTTTTGCTGCGGCAACAGGATCAGAGTGAAAGCCTGTCTGCACACAGGAATCACATTTGATGGAGGGAGAAGGGAAGAAAACAAGGTGCCCTAGAGGAATTGCTAGGAATGTAGTGTGGCCAATATTCATTTTTCTTCACAAATTTGCCTAGGGACAGTCTTATCTCTATAACATGGAGATAAATAATAAATAACAAAATTCAGTTTGTATTATGACAAAGTTGTTAGTTTTTATGTGCACCTAAATGAAAAACAAGTTCAGGTGATCAAATTAAATTTGTCCTTTTGATTCAGATTAAACCACAGTAACTACCAATGATTCTTAAGACTCTATGTATGGGAACTATACTATGACTAAGATTAAAACATATAGTATGTAAGATACAGCAGATAGTATCCTAATGATGGCACTTAAGCATAAACCAAGCCTTGAAAACTTTGATCTTTTCAAATATGGTCATGCTCATATACAAGATCCATGCATGCGTGCCTGCTAAGTTGCTTCAGTCGTGTTCAACTCTTTATGACCCTATGGATTGTAGCCTGCCAGGCTCCTCTGTCCATGGGATTCTCTGGGCAAGAATACTAGAGTGGGTAGTCATTCCCTTCTCTAGAGAATCTTCCTGGTTCAGGAATGGAACCTGCCTCTTTTTGTCTCCTGCATTGGCAGGCAGATTCTTTACCACTGGCTCAGACCGTAAAGAATGCCTGCAAGGCAGGAGACCCAGGTTCCATCCCTGGGTGGGGAAGATCCCTTGGAGAAGGGAGTGGCTACCCACTCCAGTATTCTTGCCTGGAGAATTCCATGGACAGAGGAGCCTGGGGGCTCCAGCCCATGGGGTCGCAAAGAATTCCACAGGACAGAGCAACAAACACTTTCACTTTCTTTAACACTAGCGTCACCTGGGGGGTCGCTCAGTTGTGTCCAACTCTTTGTGACCCCATGAACTGTAGCCTACCAGGTTCCTCCATCCATGGGATTTTCCAGGCAAGAATACTGGAGTGGGTTGCCCTTTCCTTCTCCAGGAGATCTTTCCAACCCAAGGATTGAACCCAGGTCTCCCACATTGTAGTCAGACACTTTACTGTCTGAGCCACTGGGGAAGTCCCATAGTCTAATGCAATCTTTGAGAAAAGCCTAATACTTTATCACTTTTCACCAAAAGTGTAAGATGGAGTTCCAGTATTCTGGCCCAGAGAATGATTATACACCTTTCGAGGGATTCCCTGATAGCTCAGTTGATGAAAAGAATCCTCCTGCAGTGCAGGAGACATCAATTCAATTCCTGGGTCGGGAAGATCCCCTGGAGAAGGAATAGGTTACCCACTCCAGTATTCTAAGGCTTCCCTTGTGGCTCAGCTGGTAAAGAATCTGCCTGCAATGCGGGAAAACTGGGTTCGATCCACCCCTGCGTTGGGAAGATCCCCTGGAGAAGGGAAAGGCTACCCAAACCAGTATTCTGGCCTGGATAATTCCATGGACATTATGGTTCGTGGGGTCGCAAAGAGTTGCACATGAGTGAGAGACTTTCACTTCACTTCATGATGATATAGACCAGGGTATTCAGAGATAAGGAGCACGCCTAAAAGAAAACATAGAAATTTGAGAAGAAAGAAAGAACAGAACAATTTTTAAGGCACTTTTTGCCCTCCTCCACAAAGAAGAAACAACAGTTTTGTGGATTATACTTTAGTTTCAAGAAAAAAATTCTCAGAGGAAATTATATTTACACCTTTTTTCCCCCCACAAAAAAATGGCTTAAGAAAGTGCAAAATATGCTCTTATACTTTTTACCTGGTTGGGATTGGGACCTCAGCTAATCCTTGAAGCAGTACAGCTGGGGACAACCTGACAAATGCAACTACAGTTCGATCCAAAAACTCCAATTCCCCAACTAAGATGTTTGAAGCTTCAGCACCTGGAGGAATCTTCTTCATAAAATGCAGATCAACCTGAGAGCATCACAAAATAAAATAAATCAAAATTGGAAAAATTTGTTAAATTATTCCTAGCAGAGTACTTCACACATGGTAACCCATCATTAAATATAGTTTAAATAAATATAGCTTATATAAGTATTATTTAAATCAAATTTTAAATAGCTAAACATCTTTCTTGCCCTTTAAAAATACTTTTTTCTTTTGCTTCTGTATTTTTTGAATTTGTTAATAATACATTGAATACTCCAGTTTTCTGCTCAATACTTTTCAAAGATGCTTTTCAGCATCAGTAATCTTGAAATTTTCAGGGAGAAAAGATTATGTGTTCAATTAAATGCATATACTCTAATCATAATTTAATTAGCATTTGCCAATATATTTAAATATTTGTATACTACATTATCTTAATTTTGTACATAATACATTTCAATTAATCAGTATATGAAATATGCCTATTTCAAAAGAAATATAATCAAAATTTTCCTTATAATATAAATTATGACTTTAGTCTTCAACTTTATCTTAATTGTTCTATATCCTTCACATTTTATACTTGTCCTGATCAATCTTCAAACTTAATTTCTCATCAGAGTATTTAGATATGGCAGAGTAAAGGAAACAAGAATAAAAATATTAACATTTGGAGTTGCTGAAGAGCCACAGTTGAATTTCTGATATGAGATGTCTATGACTGAAATGAATGCACACAAAACAAATCCATCATTAATAAAAGAAATGCATAAAGGGTGAAGTCTGAAAATGAATGTAAAATATTCTTAAGAATAACTATCAATTCTCATATAGAGAGCCTCAGTGAAAACCAAGCAGTGATTTTTAAAGTCACTTTTACAAAGCCTATTTCTTATTTTTAATACATTGAGTTGCTTTTTATGGAAACCTATTGGTGGGTAATAATGATTGCTGTAATAATTCTTTCTATGCTCCTAATGAAATGGAGACTAAAGACCAAAGTGGGAATAGGAGAGAGTGAGGCAGAGAGAAGGAAAAGAAAGAGAAAGAGAAAGAAGGAGAGGGAGGGAGATGAGAAGATGAGAAGGAAGTGGAAAGGAAGAGAGGAAAAATAAGAGGAGAAAGAAGAGAAAGACGGGGGTGAGAAAAGAGCTCTGACAAATACATGAGATCAACAAGACTTTTGGGGGGGGGCAGATACTCCTCTGTTTAATGATTTTAGAATTTTTTCAAGCAGTTTAAAATAAAAAAAAAATAAAACTTTTAGGAGAAATAACTTAGGAAGTCCATAGCCAGACTATAGTGACTATATTAAATTTGCTGCTTTCTGAAATCAAGACCTCAGCACACTTATATAGAAGGTTTATAACTACTTAATTTTCTGTGAGATAAGGGTGCCTCAAAACATAAAACCCATTATATGAAATATTTATTTTATCATAAGGATTAAATATAAAAATAATCTAGTATGCCAATAAAATATCAAATAGAAGTAATGTTCTATTTTAAAGAAAAAGAAAATGATTTAACAAAGCAAAACTGCCTATAAAATTTGATGAATATTATAAATTTCAAAATTTTTAACCTATAAATATATTTACAAATATAAATTTGTAAATTATAATACCTATACACTATTAGCTCTGTGAGAAAAACATATTAAATCTCCATAAGTCTTTCAGAACCTAAAAAAGTAAAGTAAACTATTAAGTTTTTTCCCCCATAGAAATATGATATTAATACGCTGGAACAAAGAGGAAATGGCTTTTTAAGAAAATCTACAACTGGTAAGCAATATGAGTCATATTGGTAATATCTGTCATAACTCTTAGGAGAAGTCTGAGTTCAACCTGGAAGACTGTGTAAATTCCTTTATTCAGTATTTCCTGACATATGCCATAACCTTAACTCTTGATGTCTGTGCCTCAGGCATGGGGCAACTAGACACATGACTGCTTTAAGACTTAATTTAATTAAATCAAGGAGTACCTAGTACGCTGTGTGTATGTGTGCTAAGTTGCTTCAGTCATGTCCGACTCTGTGTGACCCTATGGACTGTAGCCCACCAGGTTCCTCTGCCCATGGGATTCTCCAGGCAAGAATACTGGAGTGGGTTGACACGCCCTTCTCCAGGGCTCTTCTCAGCCCAAGGATCAAATGTGCATCTCTTATGTCTCCTGTATTACAGGTGGGTTCTTTACCACTAGTGCCACCTGGGAAGCCCATCTAGTATGCTGAAATAGCTTAATATTATAAAAGAAAATACATGGTCCTTACATTTTTTGTTGCATTATATAATACTTGATATAGCACTGATTGATATACGTTACTTAGAAAATCCACTAAAATATTTAGAATTTAATTTCAGGATTAGGAAATTTACTCTGATTTAAAATGTAACAAATTATAGTTAAATAACATATATCAAAAGATGCATTATATTATTGTAATACTATATCCCAATATATATAGTATAATACTATATTATATCCTAATATATATAGTATAATACTATTCTCCAGGCCAGAATACTGGAGTGGGTAGCCTTTCCTTTCCCCAAGGGATCTTCCCAACCCAGGGATCGAACCCAGGTCTCCTGCATTGCAGACAAATTCTTTGCCAGCCAGCCACAAGGGAAGCCCAAGAATACTGTCTCCTGCATTGCAGACAGATTCTTTGCCAGCCAGCCACAAGGGAAGCCCAAGAATACTGGAGTGGGTAGCCTATTCCTTCTCCAGCGGGTCTTCCCAACTTTTGAATCAAACTGGGATCTCCTGCATTGCAGGTGGATTCTTTACCAACTGACCTATTAGGGAAGCACACTCTACATTATAGTACTTATTATTCTTGGACTAGTCATATATTTGGGGGTAATAGATATATATTATCTACTTATTTTATTATATTATACAATTATATATTATTCCTGGGATAGCCCTATATTTTTATATTTATGTTAACATACAATTCATAAAGAACCTTATTTGGCAATCTAACTTTTAATACAACAAAAGGTCACATTTAAGGACCACAGTTTAACTTTTTATAAAACTACAAATATCAAAAATAGCTCTGAAGAATTAGGTTGACCTACATCCCTAAGACAGTCCTCAAGTGGACTCAAATATGGAAAAAGAAATCCTGGAATTTTCTGGTCCTCTGAACAGAATCTTGAAGAAACCAAGCTATACTCTTATGGATCTGGACTCATACTCATGCATCTAGGGTCTCCAGGCCTTTACACTAGGAAGGAAAACATGCCTTATTCTGGTTATTTGGCACTTAAGTTGTGAATGAGAAACAGTCATATCTCTGGGGAACAAGGTTAGACCAAAGATAATGGTGGAACCAGAAGTGTCTGGACGAGCTACACACTAAGATGTGAAGGAAATACACATGAATCTTTAGGGAGAAAGTTTAAGTCTCAAGCCCATTGTAGAAACTAGAGGAAAATGAATAGAAATTCCCTGGGGAAAGGCGGTCTTGTGACACTAAACAGCGAGTGATCTCTATTAGCTCTCTTAATCTAGGATTCAGTTTTCTCCCCTTCTCAATGAGATTTTTAAGGTTTCCTAGAATTCTAGGATTTTATAATGCAACAACTCTTCATATTTCATATGTTAAAGACTGATAATGAAGTGAGTTCCTTCTACATAGAAAATAATGTGGCAGTTTCTTTAAGTCACTTGAAATTAAAAGAAGCCATCAACATTTGATCTGAGCCACAGTCAGATCATGAACTCCTTATTGCCAAATTCAGACTTAAATTGAAGAAAGCAGGGAAAAACCACTAGACCATTCAGGTATGACCTAAATCAAATCCTTTATGATTATACAGTGGAAGTGACAAATACATTCAAGGGATTAGATCTGATAGACAACAGTGGCTGAAGAACTATGGACTGAGACTCGTGACATTGTATAGGAGGCAGTGATCAAGGCCATCCCCAAGAAAAAGAAATGCAGAAAGGCAAAATGCTTGTCTGAGGAGGCCTTAGAAATAGCTGAGAAAAGAAGAGAAGCGAAAGGCAAAGGAGAAAAGGAAAGATATACCCATTTGAATGCAGAGTTCCAAAGAACAGCAAGGAGAGATAAGAAAGCCTTCCTCAGTGATCAATGTAAAGAAATAGAGGAAAACAATAGAATGGGAAAGACTAGAGATCTCTTCAAGAAAATTAGAGATACCAAGGGAACATTTCATGTGAAGATGGGCTCAATAAAGGATGGTATGGACCTAACAAAAGCAGAAGATAGTAAGAAGAGGTGGCAAGAATATACAGAAGAACTAAACAAAAAAGATCTTAATGACCCAGATAACCATGATGGTGAGATCACTCACCTTGAGCCAGATACCCTGGAATGAGAAGTCAAGTGGGCCTTGGGAAGCATCACTACAAACAAAGCTAGTGGAAGTGATGGAATTCCAGTTGAGCTATTTCAAATCCTAAAAGATGATGCTATGAAAGTGCTTCACTCAAAAAAAAGAAAGAAAGAAAGTGCTGCACTCAATATGCCAGCAAATTTGGAAAACTCAGCAGTGGCCACAGCACTGGAAAAGGTCAGTTTTTATTCCAATCCCAAAGAAAGGCAATACCAAAGAATGTTCAAACTACCACACAATTGCACTCATCTCACAGGCTAGCAGAGTAATGTTAAAAATTCTCCAAGCCAGGCTTCAACAGGACATGAACCGTGAACTTCCAGATGTTCAAGCTGGCTTTAGAAAAGGCAGAGGAACCAGAGATCAAATTGCCAACATCCGCTGGATCATTGAAAAAGCAAGAGAGTTCCAGAAAAACATCTATTTCTGCTTTATTGACTATGCCAAAGCCTTTGACTGGGTGGATCACAACAAACTGTGGAAAATTCTTTAAGAGATGGGAATACCAGAACATCTTACCTGCTTCCTGAGAAATCTGTATGCAGGTCAAGTAGCAACAGTTGGAACTGGACATGGAACAACAGACTGGTTCCAAATAGGGAAAGGAGTATGTGAAGGTTGTATATTATCACTCTGCTTATTTAACTGATATGCAGAGTACATCATGTGAAATGCTGGGCTGGATGAAGCATCAGCTGAAATCAAGATTGCAGGAGAAATATCAATAACCTCAGATAACGCAGATGAAAACACCCTTATGGCAGAAAGCAAAGAACTAAAGAGCCTCTTGATGAAAGTGAAAGAGGAGAGTGAAAAAGTTGGCTTAATACTCAACATTCAGAAAACTAAGATCATGGCATCCGGTCTCATTCCTTCATGGCCAATAGGTGGGTAAACAATGGAAACAGTGAGAGACTGTATTTTGGAGGGCTCCAAAATCACTGCAGATGGTGACTGCAGCCATGAAATTAAAAGACACTCGTTCCTTGGAAGAAAAGCTATGACCAACCTAGACAGCATATTAAAAAACAGAGACATAACTTTGTCAACAAAGGTCCATCTAGTCAGAGCTATGGTTTTTCCAGTAGTCATGTATGGATGTGAGAGTTGGACTATAAACAAAGCTGAGCACTGAAGAATTGATGCTTTTGAACTGTAGTGTTGGAGAAGGCTCTTGAGAGTCCCTTGGACAGCAAGAAGATCCAACCAGTCCATCTTAAAGGAAATCAGTCCTGAATATTCATTGGAAGGATTGATGCTGAAGTTGAAGCTCCAATTCTTTGGCTACCTAAGGCAAGAGCTGACTCATTTGAAAAGACCCTGATGCTGGGAAAGATTGAAGGCAGGAGGAGAAGGAGATGACAGAGGATGAGACAGTTGGATGGTATCAGTGACTCGATGGACGGGAGTTTGAGAAAGGTTTGGGAATTGGTGATGGACAGGGAAGGTTGTTGTGCTGCAGTCCATGGAGTTGGAAAGAGTCAGACACAACTGAGCAACTGAACTGGATTGATCAACATTTGGGAAATAATAAAATAGTCATATAGTCATATAATAAAATAGTCTATGTATCAGTTTAAAAACACAACATATCTGCTTTTTAAAAGCATTATAGGAATCAAAAAAAAAAAAAAAAGAAACTGACAATTCAGATTATATTCAAAAACACTCCTAAATGAGTAAGTTTGATGGGCCTAACCACTGGAAGCGTTAAAAAATACATGGTTTGAATGTAAATAGAATATAGGATCAAGTATCATGAAATGAAAAAAGACTTTTTTACACCTTCATATTTCAAAATTCTACCGGGTTTGGAATCTACATATTAAACTTAAAATACTTAAGATAATATGTAAACTAACTGATTCACTTTGATAAATTTACTACCAGTCTGAAATCCCTAGGTTAAAAATCCTTAACTCATATACCTGCAAAATCTGACACTAAAGTCTCTTTCCATAATGATGTATCACTTTTGTTCTTTCCAAATCCTACTTCCCTACCCTTCAACAATATAAGGTAAGAAGTATTACCTTGCTGGGAGGGAAAAAAAAAAATCCAGAGCCGAAGGTTTAAATTGTCTTGAACCTCACAGGATTCATTGTACACATACAACCAAGACACTGTTCAAGACACTAAAAATCCAGTAGAGACCAAATCATACTAAATTTGGCTCTAGTGTTTACTTTTGGCACTACTGTTTCCACTAATATCAACAACAATACAGGAATAATAGTAGCAGCCACATTTTATTGAACACCCAAAGGGCTGGCAGAGAATTAGATGGTTAGATAGCTTCACTGACTCAACAGACATGACTCTGAGCAAACTCCAGGAGATAGTAGAGAACAGAGGAGCCTGGAGGGGTACAGTCCACGGGGGTTGCAGAGAGTTAGACAGTACTCAGAGATTGAACAGGAACACTATAAACCCAGCACTCTGAAAGGTTCTCTCTATTTTCTCATTTAATCTTCACAAGAAAATTATAAATAGGTATTATTCTTATTTTACAAGTGACAAAGGTGAAGTTCAGAGAACTTCTCCAATATCAGGTAGCTTGTAAATTGTAGAGTTAAGATCCCATACTTGTTCTCAAAAAACATGTTCTTTTCAATGTGCCATGCTATGGGCAAGAGACCAAGAAATACAGATGGTTGGCACTGCATAGAGAGCTCTAGAAATTTAACTTTCCCATTAAAAACTGGAGTGGTCCAGTGATTTGAAATGTAATAAGAAAGTAAAGGATTAAAGAAAAGAAAATCTATTTTTCACTCTTTTATAGTTCAAATTGTTCTAGGGAACCTGAAGATAAGACTACTGTCTCCCATTGGCTATATTCATTTTCTTTCAAATGTGTTGAAGCATTTTTGAAGGCTGCAAAAATAGGTCAGACAACTAAAAGCAAAATGATATAGAGATATAAAATTCAGTGTCAGTAGGTTATATCCCTTAAGAAAAGGTAAAAGGTAATTTACTTGAAAAGATGTGATTTATTATCACTGTTTTTGAGAATGTTCACTGTGTCCTTGTTATACTGTTAATGCTTGCACAAATAAGTAAGCAACTTTTTATGTCATTGCTTTTAAGATATTATTTCAAATGAAGAATATCAAGAAATTAAATGTATGGCAATTTGCGACAATTTTACTCCAACTTGCAGATGAATGAAGATGCAATGCTTTAAAAAAGATATTTTTTGGAGCAGAAATGGAATACATTTGAACTGGCTTAATACTTGAATCACACGCCTCCATACAGTGAGATGAGCTTTGAAGCACTGTGGAAAGAGCCCGAGTGTGCCCTCACCTCTCTCTCTTGCTGCTGTGGAGGTCCTTTTTCGTGTCTTTGTCTCAGCCCACATGGACTAGCATGCCCCTTTTGTTGGCCTCCCAGCCCCTGCACGCATAATTAACAGACTTAAGCTGGTACACCATGCTCCCACGGGGACTCTGCCAGGTGCCAGAGGGAGAGCATGCACGTGACTAGATCTAGACACCTTGGCAGGGGGCTTCTGAGACAGCAACAGGGGCTGGTCGCTATCACTCTCTTCAGAAGCTTGATGCAGGCAGCCTCCTATACACTGCCTCCCATTCCCATCTCCTCCCACTGCTAGAACCATCGCCAGTGCTAAGGACTTTACGGAAAAAAAAAATTACTCTGAGGTACCGCTGTTTCAGCCACTTCAATAAAGAAAATTGTTGACTCCCTTTATTTCTGGTCATATTAAAATTCTTTCGTGATTGTTTAGTTTGCCACAGCCTACAATAGCACATATAGGGTATCAGGAATTTGCTAAGCAAAATCACATTATTTTCACAGAATACATTCAAATAAATGATTTTTCATTTGAATTGTCTCCAATTAGATGGATCCCTCAAGAGAGTCAGTCTTTATTATGTTTTTATTCAAAACTCTGTCAGTCTGAATATGTTCTTGTGTTTCTTAACACTAATGCCTTTCTCTTAATTACAACAATGAAGCTTTAAGTTATACGATTTACTTTTCCACAAATAGAAGGGGAAATTATTTTGAAAAATGAAACCAGTGAAAGTTTTAAACAGTAAACTTCTGCTAAATTCCCTGTGAGGTCAGTTATCCTTTTTACTGGAAGAAATGCATCATACCAAGTGGCTGAAACCTGAAGACTGTGTGTAAAATCTACACATTTAATTTTATGCATAGGCAAAACATTACACGTGAACTTAAATGCTAACATTATAACAATATCAAGCTTTGGCTAAGAAACAAAACATATATGCATGCAAAAAATTGTGTCAACACCTCTTACAATGGTTGGAAATATCTAGTAATAACTTAATAGCTTACTTAAATGAGAGGGAGAAAACCTTACCTTGCTGAAGTCAACTGTGCTGTTTTCCCTGCTCACATCATTTTTATTTTCAACACAGGCTGGTGCAGACTGAGGAGAAACAACCTGGCCTGCTAAAGAGATTGTTATTACAAAATACAAACAATTACTTACATAATTCTAGACATATTGCATGCAATATAAATTAAACTAAACTAACATAGGTTTTTTTAATGAATTTATGAGGTAAACATGAAGGTTCAATGTAAATAGATATCAAGAAATACAAATATTCTTATTTATCAGTTACAGATAGAAATGGGAGAATTCAGTCAAGGAAATGAAAATTCATTCTCAGATTTAAACTAAACAGTTATTCTCTAAGAAGAAAGAACAACTACAAAAATGATTTTAATCTAATTACAGTCTTGAAACATCATTGATTTTTAAATTTTATCCAAAACTAATGATATACATACATCTCTTATGATCTAAACTCAGACTGAAGAATTTTATAGATAATTTTTTTTTAAAGAGCAAATATTTCTCTGAAAAGTATATAGCATATTTACAGTTTTCTACTGCATCTGAAAAACAAACAAAAGAGAAAAAGTTCTTTGACAACAGCTTTTAGAAATTTCTATATGAGAGATCCAGTTAGAAATATCTTCACCTCACATATTACAAATACTGTGAATATATTATGCTTCTCACTATTCAATTGCGTAAATATATTGATATTGGTCTGCAAAGGATCAATAAATTTGAATTGTATTTGTTTTCCATTAATACTAACTAGCAACTTAATTATTTTGATGTCTTTTTCCCATTAGAAGAAAGATTATGATATTAGTTAAGTGGACAATACAGCTAAGAACGTGACAATGACTAACGAAGGGTAATTACATTTCATTATTCACTAAATATGAAACATTCTTTTCAATCACATTATCTGAAATCTGTTCATATTTAGCAATTAAGTTATAAAAATAAATGTTTGCTTAATCTCACATGTATCTGTCTTTTCCCTAACCTCTCCCTATTCTCACTTGTTACTTTCACTGTGATATGAGTAATGACAATCCAGCTTTGAAGCCTTGATCATATTTTATGACCATTACTCAGTTACTCCAAAATACTGTTCTTATTCTCCACTGTCTTAGATGGTAATATTCTCATTTCTCTCTGCCTAACTCTTCTCTCTACCTCCCTAAATCCCAGCTTTATTCAAAGTTTACTTTTAGACTCATCTCTAATTACTGCAGTCTGTACTTAACTGAAGTTCTCTAAACTGTTAGTGCGCATACAAATAATACTTCTTTAAATTCTCTCTTGAAATCCACTTATTCACTGATGTCTAGAAATTACCATGTGTGATGTAAAACACTAATAATTTAGTTCCAAATATTACTATCATTTTGCGTTTTGAACATTAAGCCTCTCAGGCAGGGGTCATTTTTTAATAAGTACAATTTTTATGGTTTAAAATTATTACCTTGCCAGAGAGTAATGGGATTAAGATTCTTCTACAGTTTAAATATTTCACTGCTTTCATAAACAAAGTAATACATTTGATGAAGATTTTTAAAATGATTTTAAGAGAAAATTCACCTTAAATCATGTATACCAATTCTGATTACAGCAAATTTCAAAAATTACATTTTAGAGAGGTGACAGACTTAAGCTGCATTGGTTATTTTCATTCTCCCATTTCTAACTGCAGTGTGCAGCTATGACTGTGAACTGTTCATCAGCAGACATTTCATTTATCATTCTCAAAATAATAATTATAAAAAAAAAACCTTTTACATAATGCATTTGTGCTACTAACAGATGTCTTCAATCACCAGTTTCACATCATTTCTCCATATGAGTTAGAACATTAGATATATTTAAACCTAAATTTACTGAATGTTCCATAAAACTGAATGGTGAAATTCAAGGCATGGATAAATTAAATAAACATATATCTGCTTTCTTATAATAATTTATTTCATGTGATAGAAAATCACATGGAAGAACAATTATTTTACTCAATGAGCAGACACAAAAATAGTCAACCTAATAAAAAATCATCCACTTTAAAGAGATTTCATGGGATAGAAAATATGCTGCAACTTAAAATTTGAAGAAATTGCACAGCCTATGTTTTCACATACATACTCCAAAAGCAGACTATTTCATAAATTACCTTTAACTCATGAGATATGTTTAAAACTGGCACTTGTATTTCTTCTTATAAACATTAATATATTTTGAGATTTACTGTTCTATGCTATTCTTATTCTAAAAATTTTATTAAATATTACCTCATAAAGTTGATCATCATGAAGGGATTTGAAAAATGTTTTCTATAACTGTTTTAGTGACACGGATAATAACCAGTGGAGAGTATTTTAACTAGCAGGAGATATATTAGATGATAATAATTGTCCTACTAGTTCCAGATTCTAAGTATGTGCATAGAATGCATATGCCAATGCAGGGGACAAAAATCATAAAAACTACAAGTGTGTGACATACGAATATAACCCAAAAGTTGATATCACTTATATGTCAGAAATAACAATTAAATATTAGCAAATATTAGTAGACACATTTAATCTCATCAAAGTTTAAAAAGTACTCCAACTCTTATTTCTTAATGTGTATGTTAATTTGTTAAAATGAAACAACACATATTAAATGTATATACTTTAAGGCAGTATCTGCAAATGACAGGATACAGAAAAATGTACAGGTATAATATTATTATTGAAAAATTAAACACGAGGTTTGGTTTGGGTTATTTTGAAAAAATTCAAGCCTTTAAATAAAGCTTAAAATTTTATTTGTTCTATCTACCTACCACCTTTCTAAAATGTGCACATGAACTACAGTCTATTTAACTACTGAAAATTTCATAAATTAAATCATTTTTATAATTCTGTTATCAATTATCTTTTTCCGTCTAAACACTGATTTCTTTAGTTTATTCCAGTTATCACTGCCTTTCAGAAGAAGGTGATGGCTTAGATTTCAAAATGACTCTCATTAACTCAAATATTATTACATAAGAAGAATCAGTAAATTTAGGTTTTGAAAGAGCATCCCTTATTTTCTCATTCATATCTAAAGCAATACTAGTTCACAGAANATTTAATTCCTATTCTATAGTTTTAATTTTTAAAAGATTCTTTTTGCATAAAATACTCTAGTGAAGAGTTTTTTTAAAATTGAGAATATTATTTTTACCATTTTGGAAATGTTGAAACCCTTTTGTATCTCTCTGTAGTATACTGCACACACACAAAAAAATGTAATATCTATCACATATCTTTAAGCAGAATGTCAAATCTATATTTATAGTTATAAATTTTGATTTGCTTATTTATTTAGAGTTAATCAGTTTTTAGAGTTCATAAGTAGATTGAGAACCTTAGTAATAAAGGTCTTTCACCCTCTTTTTCACTTTCACTTTTCACCTTCTTTCACTTCTGGATAGGAGATTTATTTCTAAATTGGTGATGTCTATTCACATTTTCAGAATTCTTAACACACATAATTATGCAAAGTGTGTGAGGAAGCAAAATAGAGTCACAGGGAGGTGTTATAAGCCTAGGCTTAGAAAACCACTTCTGACAGTGTACTTTATGACAATACTTAATTGGGTGTATGAATTTTATTAGAAATGTTTCCAAGTTTTTATTATCCTAATATATGCCTCAAAAAGATCTTATGTGCTCAGATAAAGACTGATTATGCAGATGGTGACAGAACTATTCATATTCTAGTTCTGAGAAAAACTAAGCAATTGCCTGAATAAGACAAAAATCAGGCTCTTAGAAAAACTTTGTATCTATATGTGGATTTTTTATTTAAAGCTATAATTCTATCACCTCTTCTTATGTTTAATGAAGGTTTAAAGCTGTAACAAATAATGTGTCTAGATCTATATGATATTACAATAAATAATTCATCCAGTGAATTCAGTGCCCTTTCCCTCCAAGTATAATGTAATAAAATCATTTTACAGTAAATGTTATCCCCAGTGAAATCTGAGATACAAATTATGGCTAGCTCACAAGGTCCATGCATCTTTGAACAAACACATATTATTCTTACAGACATATATTTTATTGTCTGATTTCCAGTAAAGGTAATGAAATAAAAACAGAAGTTAACTTTCATAAAATTTACTTGCAATCAAAGAGATTTACATCATGATAATATTTTAATAAGGTCTTTAGAATCATCTAGATATAAGTCAATAGTCAAAATTAGCAAATATCTCAGTCTGTTTTCTGTTTCTTAATCTGTTTTCTTAAAAAATATCAAGTAAATACTAGTATTGTGAGCATAATAAAAGCACTATGTTTATAATAAGTTTCAGAATATAAAAACTTCATTTTGTCATTTTCATATATAATATATCTTAAAACAAATTGTGATTTGGAATATGAGTATATTTTAAATATATGATGTAATTCAAAGCAAGCTATAAAATACTCAAACTATCCAGTGGGATTGATAAATACAATATGGTATATTATATAAAGCACTCATAACACTTTTACTGAACTTAATATATGCACAACTATAGAGTTTTCAATATAACAATGATTTACATTCAGTCATTAAAGGCTCTTTAAAAAAATCAAATGAGTATTTCAAAAATTATTTTGCCATTTAGAACTGGTTCTGTGTTCTGAAACAATAGTACATTTAACCATCTTTATTGATTTATTAAAGTATTTCTTCTATTTGTCTATATTTGATTTGGTAGTATGGAAATTACCAAAGTACCTATATAAAGTAGAATCATTTTCATGCATTTGTATTTAAGCATCTTTGAAGCTTTTGAAAACAGGAGTGAAATTATATAAAGTCTATGCTGTCAATATACATACTTCAGTCCATTTGTAGAAATCACTCTCTAGTAAAACACCTGCAATTATTTTTCACTAATTTGTATTTTTTTAAACTGCAAAATTTTTCTAGCTAGCAGAAGTATAATAAACTCATATCATCTGCATAACTTCATTTTCCTTCACAGGACTGATGGAAAGGATGAGTGACAGATTTCTAAGCAACTTCCTTAGTGTAAAAGATGAAGGTTCATATGGATACCAGGAGGGAACAAAATACACAGAAAGGATAAAACAGTCAGAAACATTGTTTTGGCTTCATGATTCCTAAGAAGTAAGTCATGAATGAGTACTAGAAAACAATGGTTGGCATCATCTATGTTGGTGTGCCAAGATGGTAAGTGTGGTGGCTCCGTGGACACTAAATGAAATAGTACTGCAAAAAGCAATGAGCCTGTGAACTAGAAATCAGGCTTAATATATGTAGAGACACAAGTAAGGTACTAGCTGCTCTTTTCAATTGTAATCTCAAAAGGGATTCGTTGACCATGAACAACATGAAGCCAATATTTTTCTCTCACCATCACTAAATGTTGATGATTATTCATTTTAACTAAAAGACATTAAGTCAAAGCCCTGTTAAGCTATGAGACACTCATTAAGCTATGACACAAAGACTAGGATTTTATTTGGGATGCAACTGACAGTTGATGTTTGCTACATTGGAGTCTATAACCTCCTATTAGAAAAAAGTTTTCCTTGCATTCTTTCATGAGCCTTTCAGGAAACTTAAATTCTTTGTCAAAATTTCTACAATTTGAATTTCAATAGATCATTTTCAAGTAAGATATATTTTAAAGGACTTCGATAGTTCAGACAACTATAATAAACAATGAGTACAATAAAGAAACATTTACCATTTTTATCCATGGAATTTGGTTCTGATTGCTTCTTGCCGATATCAGCAAAGGAACGAACAATAGGAATCCTATTGGTTAGCTTCTTCTGATTCTGGTGGTGATGCTGTTTCATCAAAGCCTCGTGGACCCTGTGGCGTACATCCTCATTGAGCTGACCTGAGCTCACTTGTTGATCAAGGACCATATCTGTACAGTGAAGGAAGAAAGAAGATATAAGCACAGCTTTCCTGTGATGTGACAGCAGTGAACCACTGAGTCCAAATATGCATACCCTAGATAATCTTAGAAACAGAAGTTTGTCTTTGTAGAAGTGTTAACACAAGAAAGACTTGGGAACTTTTTCATTATAAATCATACGTTTTAAAACATGTATCATATGGAGTTTTATTTTTCAAATATGAATAGCTGTATTGAGAACAAAATGCTTTATTGTCTCCATTATTTACACTGATGAGAGGGAATAGTAGTAGGAGTAATATGAATACAAATAGTATGTCTAAAATTGGCAAGTAGCCTCATACTTGTATTTTAATATATCTTCTTCTCCTTTTCTAATAGAGAATAACTTCCATGTTTTTTCTTTAAGTGAACAAAAGTCCACCTGTAAAAATCTGATGCAAGGCGGCTTAGACAACTATCTCTGTGTGTGTGCTCATTCATGTCCAACTCTTTGCAACCCCATGGACTGTCGACAGCCAGGCTCCTCTGTCCATGGGATTTACCAGGCAAGAATACTGGAGTGGGTTGCCATTTCCTCCTCCAGGGGATCTACTTGACCTAGGGATCAAACCCTGATTGGCAGGTGGATTCTTTATCACTGAGTCACCTGGGAAGTCAAGTAAACAACTCTTTCACATTAATATAAAGTCAATCCTCTCAAATCTTCCTTGATAATGTGTTTATATTTAAGAAAAAAATTCTATATCCATCAAATAAAGAATAAAAGATGAGATTTTCAGAAGGTTATAATTAGGCAGATTGATATTTATCATGTGTAAGTGTCAGAAATGCCTATAAAATAAGTAGATGAGTAAAGATTTCTTGGTAATACAAAGTTCAACTCACTAAACCTCAGTGTAATTAATCTGGTTTCCTATGACCAAATATTAACTCTGTTTGATCTTCTTACATAAAGCAGATTACAATGAATTACCTTCCACTGCCCCATTGAGTATACTGAAGATTTGAAAACTAGCAGAATCCTCCTTCCAAACAATGTTTTCCTTCCATGTGAAAGGCAAATGACTGGGGAAACAGACTTGGGTCCTGTCTCACATTCCAGTTGTGTGGCCTTGTAATGTTGAATAATTGCAGTGTCCTTATTTCTAAGACAGAGATGATAGCTATCTCATACCAGCACTGTTGCCAGGACATAAGACATGATTGGAATATGTAGGTCTTCAGTAATTTCCAGGTACAAGATTTTCTTTGCAATTTCCTTTAAGTAGGTTATGGGTTTGCAGTTTAAACTTTTGGATAGTTTTAATTCATTTATCTATATTTTACAATAGTATATCAAGCAGAGGCAAAGTTGGATTTATCAGTAACAGAAAATCCAAATCAAATTATCTAAAACAAATTTCATTGGCTCACATAGCAGAAAAATCAAAGTTAGGTTGGATTCATTTCATTTTTTCAGTGATTCTATCAGATTCTCCCCCCTTATGGTGAGGAGGGGTAGCTTTAACCTCAGACTGTTTTCCTTACTATCATAAGGTGGCTGCCAGCAGCAACAAAGAAAATACACATCTTTTGTATCACAGTTTCTTTGCTTGTTTGTGACTTTCTCTTAAAACAGAATTCTTTTTCCCCCTTCCTAGTGACAATTCTAAGCTCAACTGACATAGTCCTGTCTATCTTTGCTGAGCCAATCACTGACTAAGAAGACGGGATCCCCACTTGCCTTAGGCTAATCAAGAACTTCCCATTACTCTGGAGTCATTTCCCTAATTCAGAGGTAGACAAACCTTTTATGTACTGAGTCAGATAATAAATATTTTAGCCTTTGCGAGCCATACAATCTCTGTCACAACTATTCAACTCCATTTACATAGCATGAAAGTAGCCACAGACAACATGTACAAATTAACATAATTGTGTTTCAGTAAAACATTTTATGGACACTAAACTTGGATTTCACAAAATTTTCACATTTCAAAATATTGATCTTCTTTTTATTGCTTTTAAAAATGTAAAATGTAATATTCCTTGTTAGCGCACATGCCTAACAAGATCAGGCAGTGGCCATATTTGCACATACAGCATAATTTGCCAGCCTTTGCTCTATCACTTGGCTGTTTTCGATGGAAAGAGGTAAAATGCATGTCTGAGAATAAGCCATAAAATCCTCTATAATTACCTCCAAAGTCTCTTCTGAAAATGTATGATAATATATTTAAACTTATATCTCAATTTTTTGCAGACTAGTAGTTATAATATACTTGGATTAATTTGAAATAAAGGAAATGGTAAATTGTCAACATATATGACTTCACATTGCAACCCTGCCAAGAGGGAAAAACATATATAAAACATGCATCATTGTTGTTGTTTTAGACGCCAAGTCATGTCCAACTCTTGCAACCCCATGGACTGTAACCTGCCAGGATCCCCCGTCCATTTTCCAGGCAAGAATAGTGGAGTGGGTTGACATTTCCTTCTCCAAGGAATCTTCCCCAAATATGCATTATATACTTCATAATAGGAGTTGTAAAGTAGGTTATTCAGATACCATCACACAGCAGTTTTATCTATAAGTCATGATATGTATCCCAAGTTCAATATTCTAATCAGAATAAAAATTAATCATATAATAAAACATGTACATGCTTATAATTTTTCATTCTTACCAAAGCACAGCTTTCCAGGCTTGAGCACTACGAAAAATAATAAGTCACTGACTTAAAAGTTTTTCAGAGATAAGGTCTTTATATAAAACAGTTGTATAAGAGAAAACAAATAGTAAAAAAAAGAAAACTCATCTGCTCATTAGTCAGAAATAAATACACAGTAAACTCCTCTGAAGTAACTGCATCTAACAATGCCTTAATGAACTATAAAAGTTAATCTACTTGCTTAAAAATAGAACTCATACTAAAGGTGGAATTTAAGTACCAAAGGGAGTGTGATTCACTGATCACTTACATTGTTCTCCTCACCACTATAATATACATTAGTATTAACCTTGAAAAGTAGGAAAGGATAATGGGTCATAATGACTTTCGGCCCAGAGTCAAGACCGACCATCTCCACAGGCTCTGATGCCTAAATAACACAGTCTAGCCTGCCAGAGTACAATGCCAGGATCTGATGGTAACAGAAGGAGCAGGAAGAAAAAGGATAAATCGGTCAATCTTCTAGCACTAAACAGGCTTCAGAAAAATTAGTAGCATTCGTGTAAAAAGACCTCAGAAAGTGAAAAAATACTTCTTGTCCTAATAAGGCAATTATGTCACCATGATTAGTTCATTTTGACTACTGAATGAAAGCCTCTAGAGACCATGAGATTCTACAGACTCTATATAAATCTCTGCCTCTTTAAAGATGATCATATAATTGTTTTGTCTTAATAATCTGTTGTCTTAAAAGATGCTGGAGGAGAAGTGGAGGATAGAGGCTTCTAAACTGGTTGACAGTACCGACAGCAGTATGTGTAATAAAAATGTAAACTACCATGGTGCTAGTGCTAAGTTGATTCAATTGTGTCTGACTCTGCAATCCCATGGACTGCAGCCTGCCAGCCTCCTCTGTCCATTGGATTCTTCAGGCAAGAATACTGGAATGGGTTGCCATGCCCTCCTTCAGGGGATATAAACTGCTATAAAAATACTTAATTTTGACCAAGAATGGTAACAGTATTGGCATTTAAAACATATATATGGCTATTCTCATACTCCCAAATCTGCAGAGTATATTTAGTGGAACAAACTATGGATTTTTCTTGGACAAAAGATTTTAAACAATGAAAGTTGTTTTAACGAGCTGAGATCTATGATTGCTAATCTGTCCATGATACTAACTCTGGTTTGGTTTTAATATCTTACCTTCATTGACAGAATTAGGTTAAAATATAAATACTACAGAGGTAATATTTCCATTATTAATCTTTATAGTACTGAATTTAAAAGAGATTAACATAGATTGCAAAATTACCTACAATTTATATGAATATAATTAAGAAGCATTTTTAATATAATTAACCCCTATATCAAAATAAATTGTGATAAGAAAATTTATCTGGAGAATCTTGGGTTTGAAAAGGTTAAGTAATATTTTGAAGGAATGTTTAAATTTATTCTCAGTTCCTTAAAACATTGGGAAATAGACATTTTTAAATTAACTTTATCCAGAAGAAAATCCTACTTTAATTACACCAGAAATTCTTGACAGACCTGCCAGATACAAATGGGATTTTCTCCTACTAAGTCTACAAAAATCTCTTTAAGGAATTATTTAAGAGTCTATTAAAAACATATCAGAACATTGATATAAAAATCCTTGACCATTCTAAAACAATATCTGGGCCATATTCCTCTACTAGGAAATGTCTAGAAAACATTAAGCTGGAGAGTCTGTGCATTTACAAAGTACTAGGGCTTACAGCTCTTAAAGATAAACAATTATATCTCACTCTCGCAAGACAGAAACTAGTGACTAATACGTTAGTAACTGACTAATGTATAGAAAAATATAATAAATAAGAGGTGAAGAAAAACTTCCAAATCTTAAAGTTAATCACAACCACTACGGTCCCAAATTATCATGAAATGAATAAAACAAAATTTATGATTATAGGTTAATCAAAAGGAGCTATTTCCCATCTTCTGCAGGTGTCACCTGTAATATATCACTATTAATCTGTTTATAAAACGGAGGAAATAGTTTCCTCTCTACCTCACAAGGTGTCTGTGATAATAAAATATAGTAATGAATGTGAAAATACAAAGTTAGAAGTCTTCAAAATGTAAAACATAAGTACTACACACTCAATAATATAGCTAAATTGTCACAAAGTAAAAATAGCAGTAAGTAAACAAGAAAATAATTACAAGCTATCAGGAGAAAATGTTTTAATGAGACTTTATTGAGGACAGAAATAAATACATTTGGATTAAATAAGCCAAATTAACATTACTCAAAGAGAGAGAATCTCTTCTCATTAATGACTGAAAAGGAACCTAAGGTAATAATCATCTACACAAGTATAAGGTAATAATCATCTACACAAAAAAAATCATATTTTTCTACATGGTATTAGCTCTAAACTACTGACCTTTTCTGAATGGCAATTTACAGACTGCTGTACATTGAAAACGAGACATTAAAAAAGTTAGTCTACTTTGGAGCCAGAAAGATACAGACTAATTAGAAGAGAATAAAGAATACTAAAAAGCTATTAATATTTGGGGTACAGAGACTTCCATTGAACTACTTTCATTTGTAAGAATAGACTTATAAAATGTAATCTGCTTTAAAAAACTAGATTCAACACAGCTAACGACCTTTACATATTCTACAGAACTGAGCCTGGGGAAGAGGGCAGGTTTAGGGAAATGAAACATAAATTTAGACAACAAAACCAAGATAAGATGATAAGTGTTTTAGTCAAACTATAACAGAATATTCTCTGGTGGAAATAAATTCCTAAAGAAGCCATTCGGAATTAAGAAATTTTTAAGAAATGTTTTAAGAAATTTAAAGCCTGGTAAAACTATGAGGACTACTCTCTGAGGCTAATTTTGCCACACTGAGGAATTTGACAGCTTCATTAAAGACAGCCAATATAAAACTCATTTGAATTAATCCATTTCCAAAGGTAATGCCATCACTGACTAAGTAGCAGAAATAAACTCCTTATTTTCGCCAAGATCTTTAACCTTCTGAGTCTCTTCATTTATGAAGGATAACAATAATACTACTAAGTTCCAAGTCTGTTCTGAGAATCAAAAAGATAGCTGTAGAATTACTAAAAAGAGCTTCCTAAATGGAGGAGTGCTATGGAAAGCTTTACCATTTCATTTTTAATTAAAAAAAAATTTTTATTGGTATCAGCAATACTCTATAATGTAAAGCTAGGAAATTGAGTTGGAGGGCTACTATAACAACATTCTCAGGAAGCTTGCTAATTTCTACGGTTGTTGTTATAGTTGCAAAATTATCCAACTCTTTGCAACCCCACAGACTGTAAGTCTTGGTTAATGTGACCTGTTACTGTATCCTGTGTTCTTCAAAAAAGTATGCTGTGTATACTTGATAGAGTCATTTAGGCTCTAGTTCTGTATTTTAAAATGTAACTTCTTTCTAAGTGTTGTATGACTGAGTGAAAGGAAGCTTGTCTCCCCGTGCGTGTGTGTTTTGTTTGTGATTTAACAAACAATATTCCTCCATGCTTACTTTTCCCCCCACATATTGCAATGTCTGTATGCTTACTAGCACCAACAACCAAATAAATAATTTCAGAGGAATTAACAACATCCACTTCAAGCCATCTCTTTCTTCAGACAGTAGTTGTAATGTAACAGAAAAAACATGGAGCTTAAAGTCAGAGGATCTTAGATGGAACTTGAATCGTGAAAGTTTCAGAATTTCTATTTTCTTATTAAAATACGGGAATGACACTTTATGAGGCTATTTGAAGATTAAATTAGATACATTATTTTTCTAATACAATATTTTCTCATTTATGTGATCAAAAAACAGAGTGTTTCGGGTTTTTTCCCATCCCTACAATATAATTAAGACATTGAAATCTCTCTGAAGTCTTTCTATTCTACAAATAAATTCCACATGGTACTGCTTTTATTTTTTTCCAAACTAGAAATCTTTTTAAAACTGCTTGAGTCTTAGCTTTGTTTCTATTTTGAAAAAAACTTCATTAACCATTTTTATTTATATCCTTTCAAAACTCATTTCTATGGGGGTTTCTTTTGTATTATTTTGTTTTTACTAAAATGTGTTTGTCTTCCAGATCAAAAGATACAGGAGTGCTTTTCTTTTACTTCCAGAGTAACAGTAAAAAGCTTCCTAAATATAACTGCTTGTGTGATAATAGGCTTCTAGTTCAAATCATTCATCCCAGAGGCAAGTCACAGTTTTCAGTTACAAACTAATCTCAACTATATCACTTGGCTTCCTCTGGAATTCAAAACTTTTAATTCAATTTAAAATAAATGGAATACAAAAACAAAAAGTAAACAATTGGAACCTGATTAAACTTAAAAGCTTTTGCACAGCAAAGGAAACTATAAGCAAGGTGAAAAGACAACCTTCGGAATGGGAGAATAGGAAATGAAACAACTGACAAAGGATTAATTTCCAAAATATATAAGCAGCTCATACAACTCAATACTAGGAAAACAAACAACCCAATCAAAAAGTGGGAAAAAGAGCTAAACAGACATTTCTCCAAAGAAAACATACAGATGGCTAACAAACACATGAAAAGATGCTCAATATCGCTCATTATTAAGAGAAATGCAAATCAAAACCACAATGAGATATCACCTCACACCGGTCAGAATGCCCATCATCAAAAAGTCTACAAACAATAAATTCTGGAAAGGGTGTAGATAAAAGGGAATGCTCTTGCACTGTTGGTGGGAATGTAAATTGATACGGTCAATATGGAAGGCGGTATGGAGATTTCCTTAAAAAAACTAGGAATAAAATCACCATATGACCCAGCAATCCCACTCCTAGGCATATACCCTGAAGAAACCAGGGTTGAAAAATACTCATGTATCCCATTGTTCACTGCAGCACTATTTACAATAGTTAGAACATGGAAACAACCTAGATGCCCATCAACAGATGAATGGATAAGGAAGCTGTGGTACATATACACAATGGAATATTACTCAGCCATAAAAAGGAATGCATTTGAGTCAGTTCTGATGAGGTGGATGAACCTAGAACCTACTATAGAGAATGAAGTGAGTCAGAAAAGGAAAAATAAATATCATATTCTAATGCACATATACAGAATCTAGCAAATGGTTCTGAAGAATTTATTTACAGGGCAGCAATCTCTATAAACAGATGTAGAGAATAGACTTATGGACATGGGGAGAGGGGAGGAGAGGGTGAGATGTATGGAAAGAGTAACATGGAAACTTACATTACCATATGTAAAATAGATAGCCAACAGGAATTTGCTGTATGGCTCAGGAAACTCAAACATGGGGTCTGTATTAACCTAGCGGGGTGGGATGGGGAGGGAGATGGGAGGGAGGTTCAAAAGAGAGGGGGAGATATGTATACCTATGGCTGATTCATGTTGAGGTTTGACAGAAAACAACAAAATTCTATAAAGCAATTATCCTTCAATAAAAAAATAAATTAAAAAAAAAAAAAACATGGCCAGGGGCATCCCTAGGGGTCCAATGGTTAAGAATCTGCCTGCCAATGTAGGAGACACAGGTTCCATTCCTGGTCTGGAAAGATCCCATATGCTTGGGGCAACTAAGTCAGTGTACCACAACTATTGAGCCTGTGCTCTAGAGCTGGTGAGTCACAATCACTGAGTCCATGTGCTGCAACTACGGAAGCCTGTGCACTTAGAGCCTGGCGCTCCAGAGCAAGAGAAGCCCCCACAATAAGGAGCCTGTGCAACACAACCAGACAAAGCCGATGCACAGCAACAAAGACCCAGAACACTCATAAATAAATAAATAATTTAAAATAAACGGCCATACCTTTCTGCTCTATTCTAAGTTAATATTTTTCCTATTTATTGAAATTTTTTCATTTGATTATTTCATGTATCTGAATATTGGAAAAAAATAAATCTCTAGCTTTATGGGTTTTTCTTTCTATTTTCTCATGGCAGCCTAATTACATACTATGTTGAAAAACAAAAACAGTATAGTCTAGATAGGAGCCAAGATATATAGGTTCTGGTTCTACTTGCCACCGGAAGTTAAACCATATATCTTTGAGATTCAACTTCTTTTATCTTAAATGAGGTGGTAAAACAAAGTTATTTTTAAAGTCTCATACATTGACCATGAGAATTCATTTCCTAAAAATTATATACATACATAGAATTATAAGAAAAAAATGAGTAAAAAAGAAATCAGCTGCACCATAAGGATGAAATACACTAAAGAGGATAAAAGATATACCTGCAATTTCTTCTAAAGTATTGGCATGCATGTCCAGCAACACAGTTCCATTCAGAACACAACTTCTTAACTCAAATAAGCTGTGCAGTGAAAGAGTAGCCACATAAGGCTTGCTCCACCTTTCCCCTCCATCTTCCACATCTTCTTCAAACTTCAACCACCTATACAAATAAATAATACTATCAGCACATTGAGTGTTACACTGTAGATAAATGAATCTTTATCTCAATAATAAAAGGTATAAACATAAAGATATTGACATTACTTCTTGGTTTCAGCGGTTTTAGAAGTAAAAGCCAACCCAAGACATCTGGTCTACTTCATTTTAATTCCATTTAACAAACATTCTATCTGTCATTGAAAGATATATATATATCTTATATTATATATATATATATATATATTGAAAGTGGTTTCCTCGAAGTAAGGGAAAGTTTTGGCACTCAAAGAATTCTGCTAGTGTGTGTCACTAACCTTGCAGATCTAACTCACTCTTAAAACTATGTGCATGTATAACTTTGATTTTAAATTATTTCTAAAGCAAAAAAAAAAAAAAAAA